TTTAATCTTTAGTTTTCAAAACTTATTTTGTGGGACTTTGTAATTCTCTCTAAAAATGAAATGTTGTTAATATTAAATATGTTGCTATTTAATAGAAATTTTACTATAAAAACTGAACTAAAATAAAAGGGATGTTGTTATAAAATAGAACCCTATGTAGGTTAGATTTTCTCTAAAGGCTAAGTTTGGACTTAATGTTGATTAACAGAAACTAGAACATGCAGCATTCATTGTGTATATTCAAGCTCTGTGAACATGAACAAATGCATTTGGGACTGCAAGTGCTTTACATGGGTTCAGCCCAGATGGTTCCCTGCACTTAAGTCATAGCTTATATTTTGTGCCCATGGCCATCTATGCCTGGGACATTTTAACCTACATAGAGTGATGTGGTTTGCAATACTTTCTTGACCTTGATGTTTTCAAATTTCATCTTAATCTTTATTGGTATCTATTAGCACTTGTTTCACACCCCCATCCCATCCCCAATATACACATTTACGAGCTAAGGCCAACTTTGGGTGGTTTTCAAATTTGAAAAAAAATTACTTTTTCAATATCCTATTATTGTTATTACCTCTGTAAGAACTCTTTGAATCATGTGATACTTTCTAATGGAATGATCAGAAAAACAATCAAACTAAATAGAATTTTCACTGACTTTTCCAAACCTACAAATGTACCATGGACTTTCCCTTTTTGTTCCTTACTCTTGGCACAAAATATTCTTGGCAGGTGATGTTGCCTGAAAACTCTAATATAAATAATGGGGTAAACTTTACCAAGAATTTAGTCACTCCTAGTTAAACTGATGGTCATACACGGAGCACAGTTTTGGAGCATGCAGCATGGCATGAAAATTCTATCACCTCCTTGAAAAGCCAAGGTAAGCAAATGTGGTCTATAGCTCAATGTACTTTTTTTTTTTTTTTTTTTTTATGACTGATTATGAACTGAGAGCTCAATGTACTTTAAAACATAACTCTTCTTTCTTCATTTCTAATGTAGACTCCATTCTGATAACCAGTTGAATGCAAGATAGGATTAAAAGTAAAAATGATTTTCTAACTAGCTAGATATATTTTGTCACAATTTTCCCAGTTGGAAAGCTATATTTACAGTTCCATGTCTCTACACCTTTTATGTGTGTTCTGCCAGACAACCTTGTATGCATCGTGTCATTTACTAATAACAGGTAAATATCAACCCCATCTGGGATGCTGAGGCCCACAGAGGTTAAATGACTTGGCTAAGACCACACAACTCTCGAGGGCCAGCTGCCATTTGAAGCCAAGTGTGTCTTCTCTAGACCAGCTCTTGACTGTTGTCTACCAAGCTATGCTGCATTCCCTGAGCAGGTTTCCTAATAAGGGTCTAGAGATATGAGACCTTAAAGATTATCTAAATCAGGAGGCTTACATAGATAAAACAGATCAGAAAGTTTCAATAAATCTCCCAGGCCCAATGCCAGTGAGTGTGACTCCTAGCTCCATTCTTCTGCTGGGGCTCATCTCAGCTGCCTTTGCAGCACTCTCAGGGGCTGTTTTCATTTCTTCCTTTCAGTAATACATACTGCTCTCAATTTTACCATTAGGCTTTTAGTCTTATCTGGTTCTTGCTTTTAATTGCTTCTAGATCACAAATTGATAAATCAGCACTGCGGTTTGGCTTCAAAATATGTAACTCAGTATGTCTTTTAAATAGATAACTACAGTTTTCCAATTAAAAATAAAAATAGAATTATCATATACTCTAATTTTAGAGACCTTAAATAATATGACTTTTTTTTCTTTTTTTTACTGATTTGGAGCTTTCTTTTAGGTGATTGTATTAAAAATGTAGACATAATCATTACCATTACCCTGCAGCCCCATGGGTCTCTCTCAAGACTGGGTCTGTCTTAGAGGAATGCTGATGATCAAACTTAAACTCTCTACATACAATGGTTAAAATGAAGATAACATACACAGCTCCAATAGTATATTCTAGTACACTCCCTTTTCTGGCTCCCAGTAATTCCTCTATAGTATAGATTTGTGATAAAGCAGAAATGCATGCTCTCCAAAACTGTGTCTGTAATGGTGGACAACTGACTCAGTGTGCTATTTTCCTGCCTTAACGACTCATTCTTGCCTTCATTCTTCCTTAGACATACTCTAGGCCTCTCTAGAGGCCTATGGACATCCAAAGGCACTAATGTTTATTATGATTAAGGTGTGAGAAGCCAAAGTTCCTTTGTGAGTATATATAATTACACTTTTAAAAAACCTTGAGAGAATTAGGTAACAGATATGGAATACATACGTAGAGCATAATGAGACCCAATTCGTCACTTAGTGATTGGTTGCACATCCTAAATCAACAACTGTCAGACAGCTATTTGGTTTTTAAGATGCAGATCTTCTTTATGTTAATGGAATGTATATAATGTGGGTTGCCCGGCTGGCTCAGTCTGTAGAGCATGAGACTTAATGGAATGGATATAATGTCTATTCATTTCTTCAATTCATAAAAGGTCTGTGTACAGTGGCTGAACATCTTTTCCAAGAAAAATAATTTACATTTTCTTTTGAGATATGATAGCATATATTGCCCTAAGATTTATGCAAAGTGTAGCACTTCCACTTTGCATTTGCATATCCTCCAGTAATGAGAGGGTTTATTTTAATTTCATTGCATAATTCTCTTGAAGCACCATGTATATTTATTTTAAGGAAGGGCCCCAAAAAGCCAAACCTAGACAATGATATCCTAAATTGCACCAGCACAATTTAATACAATATCATTACATTTAAAACATTTACACATATAGTTGCAAATCTACTTATTTTAAGCATATTTTATATAATACTTTGACAGACAAAAATATACGTTTTAGAACCATTATATGCATCTGTCTGTTCAGTAACAAACTTACAATAAATTATCCACTATAGCAAACTTACAATAAGTTATACATTATACCAGAGTAAATTTCCATGAAGGTTAAAAAAGAAAACATCATAATTTATGTTTAAAATATAATGCTAATCCATTATTTCCAAATAAAAGCCTTTATATTAGATTCACTTATTTCAGGCTTACATTCATTTGATATTCACATAAAATTCATCACTTGTAAGTGTAGCAATGAAGTCGAATTTTGACACTGAGTGTTTGAAAGCTTGACATTGCAGTCCAGCTACATGCTTGATGTTCTGAATAATATATGTGCACAAAAAATCTAAATTACATAAGAACCATGGTACAATTATATTCAAAGTATGAAAACAAAATATATATTTTATTCTAATGTGTTATCCACAGATATTGCCTCCCACGATTAATATAGCCAGTGTCTAAATGTTTCCATTGTTTTATTTTCATTGAGGACAGGTTTCAAAAATCAGTTCCACTGAGTGAGGCTGGATGCAAAGCTGTCGCATTACTTGCGATGGCAAAGCAGAGCTGGTGATGGACACATAGCGTCCTCGTCTACATTCTGCAGCTTTGTATCTTCCTTGGAAATTGGGGGGAAATTTATGCATAAATGTACATAAATAAAGATCTTGCGATCATTGTTTGATTCATCTTTAACTTTTTTTTGTTATTTTTCATTTTTATTAATTTTCTTTGTATTTTTAGTAGAGATGGGGTCTCGCTGTTGCTTAGGCTGGTCTCAAACTCCTGAGCTCAAACGATCCTCCTGCCTTGGCTTCCCAGAGTGCTAGGATTATAGGCGTGAGCCAGTGCACCTGGCCCATCTTCAAATTTTCTTGTACTTAAAAAAATCATCTTGCTAATAGCACATTTATTTGTGGATTTAATAATAAGCTAGTTTTTATTTATTTAGTTTGACAATAGGTGGAATTATTGAAGTTACCTAGTTGCAATATTTTGGACAGGGTAAACATTTTTCCCTGTATCTGTCTATTGTTAGAAAATGAATTAAATGGAAGAAATTTTTACTATCAACTTACTCTTTTTCAATGAATTTAAGTGTGGTTACTTGTTTCAAGTGCCACTCAACACAACTGTAAACTATAATATCTATAAGGAGACTGTTCTTCCCTGTTGTATATATTCTGTTGTAGTAAGAATGGTATGTTTCATGATGCACAGGATGGAAGCATGTGCCTCAGTAAATTGGACAAAAGTTTATGCTGATGGAATGGACAAAAGTCATTATTCAGGTACGTGCTGGAAGGAAGGCAGGGTACATCTGAAATATCGTGTTCACTGGGAACTGTAGTCTCTATCAATTAGTTACTTTTACATATCAAATGTTTTGATCTCTGTGGCTTTCCTTTAACAGATTTCCTGTCCCTTGCTCTTTTCTCAATCCATGTCTGAGAATTTGAGACTCCCATCCTTACTGGTTCCAAAAATTCACTCTTTCCAAGTACTCCACAGGGTACTGACTAGATTCTGAGTAAAAGGTAAATAAACAGAATTCTTTTTTTATTTAGGTGTATATGATGTTAGGTAAAGATTTGAATGACATGTAATATTCACCATCAAGTTTTGATAAAGCACTGAAAATAGGAGACATTACAACATGTAAAATTATGTAATTCCATATTCCAAAAATTACCCTGGAAATTTAATTCATGTTTAATGAAGAAGGAAATGGTTGATGCTTTAAGACAGCAATTAAACCTATGAAAAGGAATTCTACAGTCAAAACACAACTTTTATACTTAATGCTGAACACTGAAGCTCACTGTGTTTATAAGCTCACTGAAGTTCACTATGTTTATAAATACCCCCAAAAAAATTTCTGGAAAAAGTGTCTTAGTTTCAAGAATTCAGACTGGCTTTCTTTATTGGATCAAGTTCCCAGATAATTTTTCAGCTCATTGGTTCACTTTGCTTTTATAGACACAGCTCCAGTTGTTTCTATATTGTGAGACTGATGGGAGAGCATTTGAAATTCTATATTAAATACAAACCATTATATATATATATATATTAACTCCAGAAAAGGAGCAAAATAATATTTAATGACCAATGTAATGAAAGTTACATAGACATCAGATGTTGAAATCGATGGCTTCTTTCCTTTAGGATTTAGTTTTACTTTCTGCTTTCTTCCATATTTTAAAATTCACTATAGACTTTTCATAGTGGTTTCTTGTCCAGTCCCTAAAACTGGCTTATGTGAAAAAGTGCCACAGAGTAGATCCCTTAACAATAAATCATTCCCATTAATGAATATCAAAAAATGAGTGAGTTTTTTTTTCCTTTTCATTTTACTACCATTAGGAAGTGACGTGGGAGTTGTCGGTGATAAATAGTCAATGAAATACATGCTAATTTAGCCATTTGTCTCTCATTAACCATAATTGATGCGATATAGCTACCTCTCTTACATAAGGCTCAATTTCACTTACAAAATTAATTTAGATATTACTTTTTTATCATGAGGCAAAATTTTATATACTTCAGCAGAAGATTTTAAAAATCCACTGCTTTTCCTATTACTTTCTGCTTAATACCTTCCTGATTTATTGCTTTAAGGTTGCCCAGTGATCTTTCTAAGCTCCAGGTACCTTCTCCTATGCATATAGTAATTATAGACATACACAAAGTATCCCAGTGCTCCTTGACAAAGATGGACTCTATTTTCCTATCACCTTGCACCTAAAGCAATGCCATTATATAATGTTTTTTGTGTGTTTGTTTTGCCTGGGTTCAGAATATTACATGCCATTACTAAAGGAATAACAGATTGCATATTCAGCAAATGTTATAGCTCAGAACATAAAAGGTGTTAATCATCATACCAAGAAAAATCAGCTGGTTAATTCATTGCACCATTCATTGGATGACTGTGAGTTATTCTCATAGCTTCAGTGAGATAATTAAACTAGACTCACCCCTGCATTAGCAAACAATGTTTGTATCAAGATTATCCAACTTCCTTTTTTCTTAGGCTCTTTCATATATCCTTTTTTCATAATAAAGGTGAATACTCTATTTGGCTCTTTGTTCTTTTGAGTGAGGCCTTATTCACTTTTTATACCTAAGAAAACTATCTAGCATCAAAATCAACACTATTATAGATGAGAAAGGATATTGTTGCTTTTTCATGGATGTTTCCTTCTAGATTGGCTTGTATTTGTACAGTTACACTTTATATGGATTTTTGGCCTCCTGATGTTGTTTCTATTTTTAATATATTTTTATATGTTGCAAACCACCTTTCCAGGACTACTCTATTATAGCACTCTGTTTGAGAAAGCAGCATTTTACTGAGATGGGGTCATTGTAGATTATCTTCAGTCCCAGACCCTTCTGGACTGGAATCGATGTCAAGGAAGGCCTCTTTGTTGGTGAAAGTTGAGCTGAGAGTTATGCTCTGCCGAGGCTTCACAGGTGCAAGTTCATCTAATTTAATATTTTCATTTCTCACCAGAATTGTCTTATCCATGTTTTCTTCGCTGTGCCTTGCAACAACAGCATCAAACACATCTAATTTTGGTGGCAAGCTTCCACTTTCAAATAGGTATTTGGCTAGATAAGAGATGCCAATGTTGGCTAAGAACGAGGTAACCATGGCAAGTGTTTTAAATGGGAATCTCTGATTATATATACCGTTCTTATCAGGGTAGTAGCCAGGGTAGAAGATCAAGGGCTGTAGGTGCAGGTATGGCTCCCCTCCAGTTATTCTCAGGAAAAGGCCGGAAACATAACCTGCCACGGCCCCGTAGGTGTTGGTTCCCTTGACAAAGAGCACACAGAGCAGCTGGGGGAAGATGATGATGTAAACGAGGTCGGAACTGAGGTACCACAGCCCATACACAGTCTTTGTCAGCAAAGCCATGGCTGTCGCAGATGCTCCAAACACAAACACCGTGATTCGCATGACCCAAACGATTTCTTTGTCTGATGCCTGTAAGAAATTGCCACAGGGTCAGCTTTTCACACGATGTGTTGGCTCACGTAAGCCAAGAATGAGATTTATTTTGTGCTTTAAAACTGGTCTAAAGAATCTCCCTGGTTTAAATGACTCAATCTGTGGTTAAACCTAACCTAAACTGGGGCACCTGAAGCAAACAATCTAGGTGGTCTCCTGGGTGGACCTTTGAAAGGGGTTTCTCTGTACCTTAGTATGGAGCAGAGACCACCTGAGCCTTTCCCTGAATGCGCCGGTGGGGAAGAGGTAGGGTGAGCTAACGTGGTGTCATAGAGGGATAGTAAAGCAAGGGACTAAGTCTACATATTAAGGTACAGTTCTTAAGTTGCATGGAGAGAACATGGACCATCTCTACCTCCTCTCTTCATAGGAGTGCTACCATCTTTAAGGCTAGCCACCTTCTGGTGCCCTTGAAAAAGGCTTGTTTAAGGAGTTTCCTTGGTTAAAAACAAACAAATAAAGCAACACAACACAACACTGGACCATTTTGTTAACTATGACCCAGAAAATCTAGAGAAAGGCAAAGCTTTAATCAAGCAAGAAGGTGGAGAGGGACTGTTGGTCACTAGTGACCACAATAGCCTGCTATTTTGCAGCCACTTGATTTAATAAGGAAAATCACATTGAGAGGAGATTTTGGATTTGGGAGTTTAAGTGAAGAGCAGTCCAGATATTACAGAAATGCATGTAAAATAACTTCCCATTTCCTGCTTCCACCATGGTTCTCCAGTTTCCTGGTATATTTAATTAGACTAAAAGTTTTGCTGAGATAATTTAGGTTTCATTACTCTTTCATCAGAAAGACAAGCAGTTTAAGTTATAGCAATCATGACTGTACCTCTTGGGAAATAGATTATTTGTTCCCTTCATTATTAACATGAATGATGACATGTATAGATAACATCCATTTATGGCAGAAATAATATTTGTTGTTATTTAACCTTGTACATTTAATCAAAGTAGGGTCAGGTTTTAAGGTAGAATATTAATAAATATATATGAATATATTTACTATATAATTATATGTATATAGAAAACAAATTCAACAGCAGGAGCAACACAACAATAATAAATTACAAGTTGGAGAAACTGTCCTTACATTTTGTCTGAAGGAAAGCTGGTAGATGTTTCGAGCAAACATTGAACTTGCTGACAAGATGGAAGAATCTGCTGATGACATGACAGCAGCAGAAACTGCACCAAGACCAAAGAAAGAAATGTACACGGGGCAGAGATACTGCAGAACAATTGGTAAAATCATGTCTGCTTCTTCTTTGTCCTTGGGATCTGGAAACCCATATGAAGTCTGGTTCCAGTCTGTTGAATAGAAACAACAACCATAACAACCATCAAAGAGTCATATGCTCTTTATCCACCCAGGGTCATCCTACCTACTAGGTGGTTTTGAAATAAACTCAGAATCACATGAGTTAGTCTACTTAGATAGGAAGTCTATGGACTGGTCAAATGAAAATGTCTCATATGTCCTGATTTCTAATGGGTTGGGTATTGGTTATAGCTAGTCTAATGCCCAACACCTGTGAAGATCATGGTGGTGAGGTATATAGTCATTTTCTGCAATGGTGGTGTTACATTGTGTAGAATCATGGAAAACAAATGCTCTCAAACTGAATCACAGAGTTTTCCTTCATCCACTTGGAAATGAGACAGGATACTCAGTGTTTCTTCCTTAGGGCTCACTTATCCATGTGTAAATAGAGAAAGACAGCAGTGGGGCCTTATCAGCCATCATTTTCTTGCATACATACCTTGTCTTTCTCCCCATTAATTCCACTTTGCATAGAATTTCACTAGATTTAGGGCAGTCCTTATTATTGAATAAAAAGTATAGTCATGGGCCGAAATTTTCTGGAGGTTTTTTGATATGGTATGATAAGAGGACTTAAAACATAAGTTTATCTTTGAATATATGGCTTCTTTACTCTTTAGTCATAGCATGTGTTGGAGAATGCAACAGAACCCCTCAGTGTACATTAACATAGTTTATTTTTTATTTGCTAAACTTCTTTAATACCATGATTACATGACCAAGTAGGAGTGGTTTCCTTTGGATCCTACCATTTTTTTTTCTTCCTATATTTTCTATTATAATTGGCATTGAAGCCATGCTTCGATGAAGCCAATTTTATAGCCTTGACTGAGATGTTATTAAAATAGAAATAACAATTTAGCATACCTAATCCAAGAAAAAAAATAGGCTTTATGAGTCTGCTATCCTACAACACACACACACACACACACACACACAATGTCCAGATCTATTTTCTGCTTGCAAGAGAAATGCTATTTTTTCCCAAAGGAAAATACTCTATACCACTTTTTTCAGTCATCTTATTTTATCTTTTTAAAATGTTTCTTTATGTCACAAATAACAATGAATAACTGGAATGGAGAATTTACATTATGAACCATGACTGCTCTCTTAAAAGTTAAATAATATAATGCAATAAATAGCTCTACTAATTGAAAGTCAAAGTTACCACATGAACATCAACTTGGATCATCTTTATAAAACACAAAAGGGTGAAAGGGGAACTCTCTAATCTTTTCAAATTACCTTTATCTAGAAGACTCCTTTGAATTTGGGTTAATGTGATATATTTTCAATGAATACTCTTAAAAGTTTTATAGCATGGGAACATAAGGGTAAGGTAATTAATAAGTTCAATCAAATTAAAGGTGAGATTTTAAAAATGTTCCCCATAGAGGTTAACAGAGAGATGAGCATTTCATAATGCTTCTTTTTTTCTTACCAGTTTTAAGTAAGTTATTTTCTAAGTAATTTAGTTTCTTAGTTTATCTAATCATACACTTAATAATTGATTTCTCCAAGAAAGAAAACTCTTAATTAGCAAACTATTGAAAATATAAAGCAGGAATCTCAAGTTCAAAGTGGGCTTACATGATAATACCAGGTAAGTCAGTGGACTCACCAAAGGGGCTTAAAAGAACACTGGTGTGTGGCTTTATCTTTGATTATTAAATAAAATGAAGTAGGTCAGAAAAGCGTATTTTTAAAAGAACTCCCCTTAATCCCCAGATGATGTCAACATGCACATTGGTTGAGATCCACTGTTGATAGGAGTGCATATGAACAACACATAAATATACCAAAATTGGGGAAGGGGTATACATACTCACCAATATTTTATTGGTGGAGTGAGAAAATAAGAAAATGGGAGACTGCTGAACTATAATACAATTTACCGAATGTTAAAACAATGGTGTATGTATATGGGAACATGATGAGAAAAATTCACTATATGGGGGTAAGAGGGAAGGGGGACAGGGATGATGCTAGGTGGGGATTGGTAAACTAACTGGCACCTGTAGTGAAGCTGCAAGAAATTTACCTGTTGATGCTCCAATGGCCCCAATGAGTATGGCTGGGAGAGCCATCACCAGGCACCCAAAAGCCGCCAGGAAGGACAGCACTTGTGCGTAGGTGGCTGAGGATGAGGACAGGACCCTCTGGAAGTAGGCTTGCCATGGGATTCCACCCAGCATCTGCATGAGAACCACAAGCACTCAGAGTACACTAGAGGTTTATTAACAAACACGTTTGGAATAGTCATAATTATGGCTCTGACATATATTAATATAAAATGTTCTACATGCCATGGTTCTCAGTTGCTATCATTATATTTGCTGTGGTGTGAAGTTTACGTTCCCTCCAAATCCATACATTGAAATTCTAATCTCTAAGATATTAGGTATTGGTGGGAAACTTTGAGAGATGTCATGAGGGTAGAGCCCTCTTGAATGGTATTAGTGTCTTATAAAGATTCCCAGAGGAGCTTATTCCCCCCTTCCACTCTGTGAGAATACAGCAAGAAGGCACCTTTTATGAGGAATGGGTCCTTGTCAGACACTAAATCTGACAGTGCCTTGATCTTGGACTTTCCAGCCTTCAGAATTGTGAAAAATAAATTTACGTTGTTTATATGCCATTCATTTTGTGGTATTTTGTTATAGCAGCCCGAATGGACTAAGACAATGTTATTGCCATACTTTCAATTATGCAACATTTCCTTAAATTATTTTCCTTTATAATTACATGGAACAATCCTTTCTTTCCCTTAACTTACAAACCTTAATCTGCATTAAAAACCACCCAGAAGCCTTCAATTTGTTCTTGTGTGGAGATTCTAACCATTATAAAATATTCTCAAAAAATAATTAAGATTCTGAAAGTATGAAGATTGATATAAATCAACAAAAACCAATACAAATTTATAGACGTCAATGACGAGCCAGGCAATGTAATGGTTGTAAGGGCACAAGGATGAATAACACATGGTTCTTGCCCTGGAACTTGCTTTCCACTGGGAGAGTCAAGGTATTCTGGTGTTTTCCAGAGTGTGGTGTGTGGAGCGATCAAGGCAATACAGTGGGACTCAAAGAAAACATTAGAACTTCTATTTATACTCATTTACACTGTATATCTAAATGCTATGTATTTTTAAATATGATTTTTGTCCAGGCACAGTGGCTCATGCCTATAATCCTAGCACTCTGTGAGGCTGAGGCAGGAGGGTAGCTTGAGCTCAGGAGTTTGAGACCAGCCTTGACAATAGCAAGACCCCAACTCTACTAAAAATAAAGAAATAAAAAAAAATAGCCAGGCTTGGTGGCACATGCCTGTAGTCCCAGCTACTCTGGAGGCTGAGGCAGGAAAACCACTTGAGCCCAGGAGTTTGAAGCTTCAGTGAGCTGTGATGACCCAAATGCACCCTGTCCTGGGCAACGGAGAGAGGCCCTGCCTCAAAAAATAAAAGGAAAACATACTAAATTATTTTCTTGAATCTTCTCTCTTCTTTTCTTGGCTAATCTAGCTAAGGGTATACTAAAAATGCAGACTTCACCATAATACACTATGTATTAACATAAGTAATTGATAGATACACATACCAACATAAGGGGGAGTGTGCTCAAATTTCTTATTGAGGGTATACAATCAAAAATGTAAACTGTAATGCAATTTATGGCATGATCTAAAGAGGCTGTATGGGAATAAAAATGAAAAACCGTTATTTGGGGTGAGAAGAGGGGAGAGAGGAAAGGCAGCTGCGTGGTGATCAGGAAAACCTACAGAAATGACGTTGAGTCAGTCCCTGAGCACAGGGAAGGTATCCCCAGTGGAGAAGGAGGAAGAAGAAGAGTGCTTGAGAGAGACTAAGAGGAGGAAAGACAAAACAAAACAAAATAAAACACAACACCACCGAGGCAGCTGTGAGACCAGTGGCTATTTGGTGAGATTACAGGTCAGGGTGTGTGGGCACGGTTACAGAGGAGGCTAAAAAAATGCTTTCACTTAGGTCACTGCCACTACTCTGGGAAAAATGTGCATTCAGTAAATATTTATTATATAAGTGAATGATCTGATGAATGAGCTTGCGGTACCACAATGTACTGAGGTTTCTTCAATTGCCTGTCTCTCTCTCACTCTCGGTTCTGAGTTCTGGGATGTCTATCTTGTTTATCATTGTCTCACCTGTGCCAAGCAGAGTGCCTGCCACATATTAATTCTGTAACAATTTCCTTCTTATAAAAGCCATACATGTTTAAAGGTTAAAAACAAAATGCTAGAAGAAATTCTAAAATTCATAATAACATTCCTCAAGTCTATATTCCTTTCCTTTCCTTTTGCAACCTGTTAATTAATAGATCATTAATATCTTCCATGTCAATGAATTACACAAATTGATAGGTCATTTTATAAATTACATACCCATCACCTTGGGCATTTAGGTTGTCAGAGGTTTTTAAGTAAGGTAAAATCTGATCTCCATTTACAAACAGAAGCTCTTATGGTGCGATGGACTGAATGTGTCCTTCCAAAATTCAAATATCGAAACCCTAATCCCAACGTGATGGCATTCAGAGGTAGGGCTTTCGGGAGATAATCATCAGGTCATGAGGATGAAGCCCTCATGATGGGATTAGTGCCCTTTTAAGAAGAAGCCAGAGAGCCCTCTCGCCCTCTTTCTACCACGTGAGGATAAAATGAAAAGTCAGCCGTCTGCAATTTGGACGAGGGCCGTCACCAGAGCCCCACCATGCTGACGTCTTGCTTGGACTTCCAGCCTCCAGAACTACGAAAAATAAATTGTATTGTTTATATATCACCCAGCCTATGGTCTTTTATTACAGAAGCTCGAACTGGCTAAAACAGAGGGCAATATGGACGGTGGGCAATATGGATAAGAGGTGGGCAGGCTGCCATCAGGGAAGCCAATGAGGGCTCACATATCCACAGGTGAGGAAGGTGGTTGGCCTAGTATAGGCTAATACAGGGACAGTGGGCAGGTTCCCAAGGGGACTGGGAGTTACCTAGATAGTGTCATGAGCAGGACTTGCCAAGTCATTTTCATGTAGGGGACGTTGGAGAGACAATTGGAAGATGAGAGACCATCTGGGAAACATTGCAAGGCTTATTTCTGCCGTTCATTCATTCATTCAACATGTATTCTTTCATTTCAACTCATTTTACAATTTGAATCATGAATTTGACTTGGTCATATAATTTTTAGAGCTGGATGAAACTTAGCAATCACCTGATATAATGTCTTATATCAAAGATGAATAACCTGAGGACTACAATGCGGTGTAGGGAGAGGGACTTTGGGATCTGGATGTTCTATATCGGCATCTAACTCAGACAATGGTGTGATTACCAACAAATTGCCTAATATTTATGAGTTTTGTCATCTCCTCGCTGTAACCATAAGCACACTGACCTGCAGGTGTAATACATATGCATATGTACTCCTACCCCTTACTTTCACAGTTATAAACCATTCCAGAAAAATGACAGCCAGCAGATTTCTTAATAATCCTTAAGGAAAAAAGTCCTCCAATCCACTAACGTAAATATATTTTTTCCCTATATTTTCCTGCCTCCTTACTAGAAAATTTTTTACTGGGAAAGACACACTCACTTTGAGCGTCGAGGTAATGTTAAAATTTAGCAAAGTGCCATGAACCAAACATCATAAAATATTGTCAACCCTCTAAAGATAAAACAAAAATAACCAAATTCCCTGGATTTTGAAATAAAAAGCAACCAATTTCTTATGTTCAAATCAAATATGATGTGTTATTTTCATATATAACCTCTCTAATTAGCAAAGTTGTAAAATCTAGTTGGTTCTCCTGGTTTTTCTTCTTTTCAACCTGTGGTCTGTCATTATTTCTGCCATGTCTTCCTCCCCTTCCAGCACCATTGCTGAGGTTCTGGCTCTGAGTTTTTAAGCCACCTCTGCCTCTCAGGGGCTTCTCTCTTGGCATTTTTACTGAGTGACACCTCCCTTCCCAACTTATCTTACCCACTTAGGGCCCATGGCACGACTAATTCACTTACTCTGTAATTTAAGACTGAATGAGTTACTTATTTTGGGACACATTGGCTTTTAGCCCTTAATTAAAAACACAAAATAAAACTTTTAGGTGGCTTGGCTTTCAGCTTGTGGGAGATCCCTGGGGGATGGCATGATATTGCCTGACTTACACGGTGACAGACAGGCGGACACACCACACGTAACCCCACCATGCTGCCCTGCAAGGCTTCATGTGCCCTCTGTCTGGACACTATTGGACATAGTCAGGATGTGGCTCCACCCTCCCAGTAGAGAGCCAGCAATTCAGAAATAGCCATTAGCCTGTAGGCAAAATTTTAGTATAAATATGAAAATCTTGGAAATGCAGTTTATTTTAGGAATGATTAGATCACATTCCTCAGGTAAGAGCATTACTTACCAACAACAGAAAACTATCAAGCCAAGAGTAGACTTCAAATGACTCAATGGTTCCCAGCCAAGGCTCCTGGTATTTAGTGTGCACAGCAGTGAATCCGATGTCTGAGACTGCAGGGTGTGACAGTGCAAAGGGGACACTGATCCACTGTAAAAGGAAGCGACATTGGAGCCTTAGGCTATGGATTTTAACTGTCTGGTGTATGCAAGGTTTATACACCTCACAGACTGCATGGCTCGGTAGTTCCTCTTGTTTACACAGAGAAGGACCTCAAATCATGTTCTCTTTGGGATAACATTAAATATTGATTTAGAAAAATTAAAATAATGCATTGTCTACTTCTGTGCTTAATTATACCATGTCAGATAAACAATAGGAGCATTTATCAGAAACCTCTGGGAATATATCATTTGAGATATAGATAGATATTGAGATGCATAAATATATATATACACACACACACATGATTTATGTGTTGTGTGAATTATGGAAAAATATCTACTCATTAAAGTGACAAGCAAAGATCTGATTGAGAAACGTATGAGTGAAACAAGCCTTCAAAGTTAGACCTAGTACTAACATTTAGAAGAGAAAGGAATTGAAGGGGGAGATGGCCTAGATGAAGCAAGGCAAGAAGTAGAGGTATATATGGTGTATGGGCATGTGTGTGGGTGTATGCATGTGTAGGTGTGTCTAGGTATGTGTGTAGGCATGTGTGTGTGTATGTATGTGTGGGTGTGTGTAGGTGTGTAGGGGTAGGGTGTGTGTATATGTAGGTTTGTGTGTAGGTGTAGGTGTATGCAGGTGTGTGTGTGTGTAGGTGTGTGAGTGCATGGGTGGGGGTATGCATGTGTATTTGCTCTGACATCTGTTGTGCAACAGGGTTTGCAGGCATGGGAGTGGCTTAGGAAAATGGGAGAGATAAAGAAAGATGTGTGGAGAGAACTCTGAATTGCAAGTAAAGGATTTGTATTTTGTTTTTCAGGCAACTGGAAGCTAGAAACATTTCTTGAGTATTAAAAAAGATTTCAGTTGAATTTCTTTTGAATTTTAACATGATAGATGTGGACAGTGAGTTTCAAGGAAGGGAGGCATCAGGGAGAGCAGTAGGTGTTTTCAATACCACCTAGATGAAGGCCCAAAGCACAGCAGTGACATTGGAATGGAAAGATATTGGTGCTAAAAAGGTTTATGAAGAGAGAGTCAATGACTCTTCGATTACAAAAGGAGAGAGAGGTCAGAGAGGGAAAACTAACAGAGGGACCTCAAAATTACAGTTTTGGAGTTACAAAGGTGATGACAAAATCAGCAGAATTAGAGAATTTAAGAAAAGAAGATGTTTTAAGGTGTAAGTTAATTATGTATGCATGTATAGGAATTAAAACTTGAGAAACAATCATATGTAGAATAAGACCCTCACTAGTAACCAACAGAACTTCATTCTTTACCAACTTAGTTACATTTTGTAGCAGAGTCCCATTCTAACATATTTCCCCTATCATCTTTACACTTGCACACTTGATTTATGCACCTGTGTGTTTTAAGTTCTGGTCTCATATAAAGCAATGAGAAATCACATATGTCATCAGTAATAGATTCAGCCCCTGGGCTTGTGTTTCTTAGAGTACCTAGTGCATTAGTTACCAGAGCTGTCATGGCCAAACTAACCTCCCTTGCAATGTTCTGCAGAGGGATTTATTTCTGTGTTCTCTGTTTTATTTCTGGAAGTTTATGATGATTCTAAGGAAAAATACAAATTTCAGTACTGTCCACTTGGCTTTAGTAATTTAAAGCTAAAAAGTGGAAGTTCTTGAGCAAATTAAACATTCAATTTCATTCAATTAAACAACAAATTCAATTAAAATTTCATGACATGCAAATAAAATGTCTAGGAGAAAAAGAGGGAATATTAGCATCTTTGCTAGCATACGTAAATTTATAGTTAAATTATAAATCTAATTATAGTCCATTCTTTTAAATTTTCCTTCAGGATGGTATTAGAGATGCTAGAAAGTTTTAAAAAAGAGGTGAGGTATGAGATTCCTTCTTCGTCTTTCTTTTCTAAGTGCCTAGTGTAAAAACTAAAATAAGGTAAAAAGCTTTCCATCATAAGAAAAAATAAAGAAAAACAAGGGGAATCAAAGTACTTTGACTAATCTTGGGAAAATGAGTTGTGATCTACAGTGTTAGCTTGCTCTGTCCAGGGCCTTCACACAGGGCATGGCCCTTATGAGATCTACGACTCAAATGATTCATGTGTAAGATGAGATAATTTACATACATGAATCCATGACAGCCCCCAGCACCCAGTGAGCACACCATTTTCTTTACACTTCTTTCGTAGATGTTGGATATTATTATATGCATAATTATAATCTTCACGTTTTAAGATGTGAGTTTGCAAAGAATCAACCTCGACTAAAATGTGCTCAAGAAACACTAAGATGCTTTTAATGTAATACTCATAATACTCATGTCTCATAATTATATAGCACATTTTACCTAATAAAACATAAAAAGCAATATATGATAAATTTTTCCAGTGGCTTATATAATTAAGCCTTTTCTACTTTTTTAGACTACAAATAGCTCCCTTTTATGTCAAAATCTAACAAAATGATTAGAGTTTTTCATCTAATTAATTCATAGAGATATTTAAAATTTTATATAGTAGGCAATTTCTTATGTATTACTCATGATGGAAGACAACATTGCTACTAATTTTTGCTGAGTTAGTTACAAAATACCACGTTATATTTTACAGGGAAAAAAAATGAAGACAAAGCTGTGTGTCACCCCACTTACCAGTCCTACAAAAATGCAAAAGAGCTGAACGACATCTGTGTAGGCCACCGAGTAGAGCCCGCCCACCAGGGTGTACAGAGTGGCCACCAGCGCGGAGACAATGACAGAAGCGCGCACGTCCACGTCGATGATCACGCTGATGGTGGCACCTGACGGAAACCAACAAGGAAGCCGCGGTTAAGGTGCGCAAATGGATTCTGATTTCTGTACAAGGGCATACTGGAAGTTCGGTGATAGCTGATATTTCCCCCTGCGTCATTTGCAAAGTGATTGGTTGAAAACAGCTAAAGTGAATTTTACTATTGAAATTTTTAGATATTAATCAATTCAGTTATCCATCTATTCTTGCTTTCTGAAATTAGTGCTTTGCTAACTTATTTATGCAGAGAGCACCTGAAATTTATATCATGACTACAGAATACCTTGAATTACTGATAGATTGAATTCCATTATAAGAACTTGCAACAATTTCACTATCTGAAACTCTGACTTAAACACAGTTATATGTTGGTTAACAACAGAAATATTTTCTGAGAAATGCATCATTAGGCGATTTCATCACTGTGCAAACATCAGAGTGTGCTTACACAAAACTAGATGGCATAGCCCACTACACACCCCTGTACAGCATGTTGCCTTACCGAACACTGTAGGCAATTGTAACACAGTGGCAAGGATTTGTGCTAAACATACCTAAACATAGAAAAGGATAATAAAAATATGGTATTATAATGCTATAGGACCACTGTCACACATATGTGTTCTGTCCTTGACTGAAAAGTCATTATATGGTGCATAACTATATATGCAATGTATTTATTCACATTTATGAGAAAAGGCTTTTTGAGAAGCATGATCTCACATTTCCACATATTCCAATTAATATCTATTTGTTATTTTGCATTTACTCTGCCTGTTGCTAGCATCCGATAGCTGACAAATAGTTGAGACAAATGTGTAGGAGAAAATCATAAAATTAGTAAATTGTATCTGTTAACTTTTTCTCTCTCAAATTCTTAAAGGATCATTTTATTTTTATTAAATTGGGGGAACATGCCAGTCCTGCTCCTATGATACCTATACTGAAGAGCCTTATATTTAAAAATCATATTTTCAGTAATTTTCACCATCAACTTTTATATTTGCCATAGAAATAAAATTTATTTTTCTCTTTCTTTATAACATTGTTTATTGTGTTTGTTGGTGTCTATATTCCCACTGAGAATATTGTGGTATGGATAGTTAGGGCAACTGCGGTTCTTAAACTGACAGTTCGTAATTCATTTCTTGCTTTACAAGCCCTTTCCCTATTGTTCTCAAAACAGTTTATATGTCATATTATTAAATGCAGCAATGATAGATATTCTAGCATACATGCAACAAATCTGTGGTTTTCTGTATCATTAATTGCAGCCAACTGTCTTATACTCTCTTCCCATTCTCAATTGGCATGCTAATAGTATACAAACCCCACCTGAGATGAAAATCCATTATCTCAAAGAGCAATATAAGATATTTTTATCTAAAATATCAGTACGAAATATTTTAGACAAATTTTTAGGGCTTTTGCCATGGTAATAAAATTACTTTTTCAAGTAAAAATTCAAAAGAAAAATCTAGTAAGGAGTTGGAGGATGAAGACACAAAGGTAAATTATTTGTAAGTTGCTTTAGAAAATTGACTGAGTTGTTGTTATATAAATATCTAAAAAGTTACTTTTTTCCTGAAATCCTTTACTTCACATGTTGAAACTTTACTTCCAACTCTGTCATTCTTCTTTCAGTATAGTCCTCCACTTTAATAACATTTCTAAGCTATATCCCATGAATTATAAATAGTTCAATTATAAAAGAAAGATTCCTGGACTAAGACCCTAAAGATTTGTGGTCCTTATAGATGCTGTCATATGATTGTAACTCAGTGAATTGAAAAAAGTCAACCACTCCTCTATTAAGAGTATGATAATTTTTTCTCTAAAATATTTTCCAATTAATAAAATCAAATGTAGTGAGCAAAACAAAGTTATAATTTGAGAGCTGTTGTGAAATATTTGTCTACTTATGAAGCTATACAAATAAATATAATGTAAAGAAAGTTATGAAAATCTACTGAATTTGAGCTGTTAGAAGTATAAATATACATTTCTTTAAAAATTTATAAGATGTTGTTCATTTATACCATAAGATCCTCCTATGTTTCAATGGTGAACTATCCACATTCACCATAAGGTGGTAATAGATATTATACTTGCATATTCTTAAATATCCCAAGTTATTTTTAATAAACACTAACCTTGAATTTTGTCCAACTATTATTTATGAAGAAAATATAGGTATTAATTTATTTTAAGCAATAGCAGTGATGTTTTCAAATATGTTGTTTGATATATGTGAGTCTGTGTGTGTAGAGAGAAACAGACTATAACATATTTACCTATGTAGTCATGCATGATATAATAACGTTACTGTCAGTGATAGACCATATATACATACATGGAGCTGAAAAATTCTTATCAACTAGTGACATCGTTGTCACTGTGTTACAATTAACCTACAGTATTCAGTGCAGTAATATGCTGTATAGGTTTGTAGCCTATGAACAATAAGCTATACTATATAGCCTAGGTGTGTAATACGTTGTACCATCTAGGTTTGTGTAAGTGTACTCTATGATGTTCCCACAAGGATGAAATCAACTTTTGATACATTTCTCAAAACACATACCCATCATTAAGAGATGCATGACTGTACATTGAAATATACACACAGACATAGACACATATATACAAAAATAACAAATTGTAACAAAGTCCAGAGTTTAGCTACTATGTTCTATATTTCCAAAATACTTTAGAAGCATTAGCTTATTAATTATATTCTCTCTTCTGGTCTCTGCTACATAAATTCATCTTTATTCAGTGAGAGTGAACATTTTGTATTTTGTTAGATATTCAGCCCACTCCTTTTTTGATACCTCAGCAGGTAATTTGTTCTTAAAACCAAAATTTGCTGGTGTTTAAACCAATGGCAAATAAACTCCCATTGCTTCTCAGCTAATGAGAGCCAGGTGGGAAGAGAGGTGTATTTTTACACATAATTTCATTAGAATGTAAGTACAGCAGTAGGTGTGGAGGATTATTTTCTAGCACTAGGGAAGTGTAACATTATCCACTGAGTTCTTACCACATTTTATAACTATCAATTTCTCTTCTTCACCACATCAAGTTGGGGACCAATAAGGGAGTTTGAGAGAGAAAGGAGTGAAAGATAGTATACAATAATATTTGATATTATACAGGCCACATATGGTGTTAATACTGAAGCCAAAAGACAAGATTGCAGTCCAGAATATATAACCTAGAAGGAAATTCATCATATCTTACTTTTGTTCTGATCACGTAGGTAAAATCTGGCTGTAAAGCCCTGTCCATTTGTAAAAATAAAAAATAAAGAATAACACACATGAATGCCTAGATGTCAAAAATTGACATGGCTCACTGGGGAAGGTTGAGGAACTTCCAACTCTACTGATCTTCAAGAAGGAACTCAACACTCAGTAGGATGGGTCAGATTTCCCCGATTAAAAAGCAGGGTATTGCACCTGAAGATTTCCCATGATCCCACTGAAATCTCTTGTTTTCCTAAATCTTGCAAGTGGTCTGAGAATCCAAGGCCCATAAGGACAAGTCTAAAGAATCTACATTCAGTTTCTGGATCCCTAAAAGTGTCTACAACCCAATACTTTATGATGTAATGTGATTACACTGAGGAGAAAAGAAGTAACACTGTTATTCTTTTTCTCTTTTGAAGAAAGTATAGCCACACAGGACTCATTCATTCATTCGTTTGTGATAGGATTATAACTGTTAACAAGACACAAGTCCTGCCTTCAAGAAATTACAATCCATTTTGTATACTGCAAGGAAATTGGGTATGGAATAGGTAAACAGGTAAATAATTATGCAAAGTGATAAGTCCAATGAGAACAAAATTCCAGGTGCCTGAGGAAGCCCATAGCAAAGGCACCCAGCAAGTTCAGCGGGACTGCTCCGAGGAAGTGACATCTATGAGAAGATCCAAAGGACACATTAAGGTTGCCTAGGCAGATGGAGGGGAAAAGAGTGGAGATGAGTCTACAGCACAGGCACTGGGCTTGCAAAGTGTCTGGTGCAAGAGCATACGACCATCATTCTGGTGGAAGAAAGAGGGCAGGCAGGGCAGGGGAATGAGAGGAGAGCATCAAAGCCTGGGTCATACTTAGCAGCCTTATTAAAAAGTTTGGTTTGAGCAGGAAAGGGGCATGATGGGATCTGAACTTAGAATGTGGCTGCCACGTGGAGATGACAGGAGGAGGGCAGAACTGTAAGCAGGGAGATTGTTTCATTTATCCAAATAAGGGAGGCTGGGGTAGGGCTGAGGCAGCTAGAAGCAGAGGCGGATGGGGGAGGAGCCAGGTGGAGGCTCCTACAGGTAAACATGGACCCCAGGGCTGAGCTGAGTATCTTGCAGGATGAAGGCGGATCTGCTGGAGGTGAGGCAGTGCACTCCTCCGCAGAGGGCGCTATACCTCCCAGCTGCTTCAACAGCTCAGACGTTCAGACTTTGTCAACTGGCCCCAGGCAGCGCACCTCTAAGTCTGCATCTCTCAGACTAGAATGCAGGTGAGGAGAAGCTCAGGATAGGGAAGATTTCTTATATGAGTTACTAAGGAGACATTTAAACTGGAGGGGAAATCCTTGTTACAGTTGGCCATACTTAATTTTTCCACTAATAAACCAAACCATTGTGCTTTTTAAAATATCAGTTTATTGAAATATTTCCAGTGTGGTAGTTTTCCTGTGTGACTTATATTACTTACCTATTCCATCAGCAGAGGATTGGTGAGATCTCATTTCTCTAAGAATGTTCTTTGCTGTTGGGACTCATACTTGGTTTTATATTTGTTTTTAGACATATTTGATTTAAAAAGTCAACATTTCTAGAAGTATTAATGCTTTAAAAGTAGCATGCAATACTATTCTTTGAAAAGTTTAAATAGCTTTGTATTTACATTTATATCAATTAACATGGCAGTTATTAGAAAGAAAACAATGGAAATTAAAAAGTTCTCAGTTTACGGAAAGGAGACTTACTGAATAAATTAAGATCTAAACCATTGATATACATGCATTCAACACCAAGAATATATATTAATGTTCCCCCTAACCCCCAGCTCCTGAACCCTTGTTTCGAAAATTATTTTTAAATAAACTGTACTTTTTAGTTAGGTATAATTAATTATACTTTGATCAAAATCATATGTGACTTATAAAAGCAACCCTTGATCATTGTAATTCATGTTATCACTCTAATGATGAAATTCACATTTTAAAAATGCAATTGAGGTTTTATTTAACCAACACAGCCACACTGTAAGTAAATACAGAATTTATGTTAAGCTTTTATGAATATAAATGTAGCTCTGTGTATGGTTTTAATAAAAATCTCTTTAGAAACCAAGGCTGAAGAGAGTAAGTTTGCATATCTGATGTTCAGTTAACTAGAGAGATGCATCTAGAACAACACTCAGTTGGTCCTTACCCAATGCAGAGAAAATTGCTGCAGCCCAGAACATTTCTCCCATTAGTGCAGGGATAAACAGGAGCCCACCCATGCGTTTTCCATAGATCTGCTGAAATGGGTCTAACATGGTCACATACCCTTTGGAACGCATAGGTTTTGCAAAGAACAGACCACCTAGAAGAAATAAACAAGTGTTTATGAGAAGATAAAAAATTCACAATATAATAGTCTTTGCCAACCTTTTACTATGCTATAATTTCTCAAACAAAATGTTGTTTTAAGAACATGTTTATGGATTGAGGAACCAATCTGAAATATCCTGTGAGTATAGTACCGAGAAGTATTTATCAACCTAATATAAAATTTTTAGTGTATTTAACACTGTATGTGCTCAAAGGACAATTGGACAATGTAACTGAGGCATGTGAATTAAAAAACATATCCAGAGTAGTGTTCATGAAAACGCCTTGATACCTTTGTATTGCCCAGCACAGCATTCAGATATTTTGCATATGCAGAAGATCCAATAAAAGTATATTGAGTAAAAAAATGAGGAACTCATGTTACATAATATTTTTTACCTTTTACTAGTTTGATTTACAAAAAGAAACTCAGGTACAAGTTGATTCATTTTTAATGACATATCCATACTGTTTTTGAAAGAAATAAAATATGATTATGGTAAGAAATTCACTACTCTGATAGCTATAGGATCAAAGGAATTTTTTTTAACATATCATATTCCATAATCAAGAGATCAAATAGTGTTCTGCTACTTACCAATTTCTGGTAACAGCTACTTAGAGATTTTTGGTGACATTTTTTCCACAATAATCATTCACATTGTTTGATTTATTATTCCACTTGTTATTTATACTCCTATTCATTATGCTTTACTGAATGAGTCACCAAAATTTATACTTTCACTTACCTAAAATCAGACTAAGGGAGTATCCAATTGGCGCCTGAGCCCACGCTAGACCGTAATCTGGTACATAAACTGCTTCAGCTGTGCCGTTGATATAGCCTCCTCCGACCCAAGTGGCTGAAATGGAGTGAAAAGTGAGGGAATGACACTGTCTTACCTGTTTTACCTTACACCTGCCTGTCCCATGCTGTGGTCACTAGCATTTGTGGCTATTGAGCGCCTAAAATATGCCTGAAATGTGGCTAGTGTGAATTGAGATGTTCTATGAGTATAAAATCCACACTGGATTTCAAAGTTTTTCTTTTACTGATCACATGTTCAAATAGAAACATTTTGAATGTCTTGAGCTAAGTAAATTATATTATTAACATTAACTCATCTATTGCTTTTTGTTTTTAAATGAGGCTTGTAGAAAATACAACATTACGTTAGTGACTCACATTGCATTTCTACTGAACAGTGCTGCCCTAGATGTTTTCTAAATGCATTTAGTCATCAAACTTTTCAATGTGATCAAATATAATAAATCTGAGTTCAAATGCAATATGTCATATGACTATTTCTATTCTTAATAATTCTATAACTTTTTTCCCAACCCCCATAATATAGGGTCAAATATCTCTATTTCAAAGCCCTTCCATTTTAATTATATTGATCTTTTTCCACATTTATCATGGCTATTGTCCTCGAGGAGTGCTTTGTGTGTGTGTGAATGTGTGTGCCCACATAAGCATGCATATATATGTGTAAGAGGACATATGTGTATGTGTTAGTGTGCTTTTTATTAGTAGTCTTTTCCTAAACACTCTGAGGACACAGGATAGGGCTAATCTGATATGCATCACAACTAAGTTGTACTTACTACCTTAAATTGTTAGGAGAGTGAAAGGAAGAGAGAGATGATACTTCTCCTCCAAAGTAGACTAAAGTGAGTTTAAATTTTCCCTCTTTAAGTATTCAACATATACTAATACATAGAGTCTAGAACAACACTCAGAAGAATGCAAAATGTTGAAATCATACCCACTCATAATTTTTTATTTTAATCTTGGTGTCTTAGGTATTTCATAGGGAATATTAGGAAACATGTATTCATCAGATATATCAAATTTCAGTAACATAATAGCTAAAGGAGGGAGGTCAAAAACCAAAAAATACAAGTTTTGCCTAAACAATTTTGGGCCAAGAATGATCTATAAACTACGATTTTTTTTTCTGAGATGACAATATAACATTTGATCCTTGCTGAAAAACTAATATTCAAGAGAACACAAAATCTTTGCAGTTTATATCCTTTTAAGGTACAATATGGTAAAAATATTTTAAAAAGCCCTATATAGAATTTATGTAAAATTATGAGTGTCACAGGTTGATAAAAAGCTTATCAGATATGAGACTGAATTCTAGGCTGTATTGTTCCATTGGGAATAAAATTGAACTCTGATGAGTTCTCCAAAATCTCACAGGTAATATGTAGGTAAATAAAATTATACGTATATATATGTATGTATATATACATACATATATATATGAAACTATCTAAGACAAGTGTTTCTAGTGCGTTCATGCCAGAATTCATCTGGCATTTAAAACAACACAAGAAAGAAGAGGGAGTGTCTTAGGGTTAATATTAATTTTGAAAAGGCTGACACAAAAAGACTTTCCTGCACAAGAATTTTAAGAACAGTTATATGGAAAGTTTACATACAAATCCTGAAGTAGACACTTAAAAACCAAGTACGTATTTAACAACCACTTCCATCTTCACAGCAGCTTTTTTATATCAGGTGTTAACAAATAGCAAATGCCATCATTTGTTTTTCTCATTCTAAGCCCCGCTGAAATAAAAAAAAAACAAAAAACACTTTTTTTTTTCACTTGGTGTCTAACAAGGACCTGAAGAAATGAATTCTATAGGCACAGAACCTGAGACTCTATCTTCTTGCTAGGTAACTGGAACTGCCAACACACCAGCAATGTCTCACCGCATAAAGTAAATGGTCTGATGGTCTTACAAGCACAAAGCTTATTAGTGATCATTTTTCATTGTGTAGGTCCCTTGTCCCTTGTCCAAATAGAAAATTGGTGCCTGAATGATTGCAGGTATTATAATGCAGAAGTGAAGACTTCGTTACTTATTATGATTAAACAAGTCCCTCCATTTTAATCAATCTAGTTCCTTCTATGCCAGAATTTGCTCTCCATGTTTGTATATTTTTTTGTCAAATTCATGAGTGAGAACACGGACTCATTTAAAATATATTCATTTTAAAAGAATCAACATTTTCAACCTCTATTCTTTATAAAATATATGCAAGTCAACGAATCAGAAAAGGTTAGGTAATATGGTTCAGACTTTAAATGAATTATGATATTGACCATGATTCTTTTGAGTTCTGAGAAAGAGGGGGAAAAAAAGAAGCTTTAAAACTGAGCTAGACCATAGCACTTTATAAGAAATAGCATCATTCAAATATTTTCCATACACTTTAACAGCCTATTAGATGGAAAAAAAAATCACTCCAAATAGTAAAAATACATTCAAAAATGTTATCTTTATGGGCATATTAAATAGAATATTAAACTAGAGTAATGCAAAACTATAATAATTTACAGTGAAGAAAAATGCTTTGATATACAGCAGCTCATTTATTTCTTTCTACTGTTAGTACAAACTATGCACCTTTATAAATAAAGTGAAGCCAGTTATATGGCTGCATGTGGCTCAGGGATGGAGGGCCCAGGTATGCCTGCCAGAAGACCTGGGTTTGGTCCCGGCTCTGGTCCTTGTTAAGCATGTAACCCTAGGTGTTCACTTTCCCCCAGAATCCTGTCATAGGACTGCTATAAAGACCAAATGATTCCATGTGCAGTTGGTGAAGAGTTAAACAAATATAAAGCGTGAATATCTGAAAGGTAAAATCTACAGTCCATATAGAACATTGTAGGTTTCAGATGATCGGATCAAGACATTCAGAACACGGATGGCCCTCTCCAGACTGGTTTGGTAAACTATTTTGATATACACAGTGAATCATTTTTAAGTAGCACTTCAAGACTGAAATTGGGTAGCATTTGGATATAAATTCCAATGGGATATTTTTCCAATGAGCACTCAGAGTTCCTGTTAGTTATGGAGTATGTTGCTAATGTTCAAAAGGCTACCAAGACTCTGAAATGACATACATGTTGTTAGTGAAAGGGTATCTAATATAAAAGATACAATTTTAAGTTGTTTCTCGGATTTGTTTTCAATGACCAGGGAGCATATGAAAAAGAAACAAATCACCCTTTAAACAGAGCCACCTCAGGGCAAAGGAGGAAACAATAACACAAAGAAGGTTTGAATGACAGAGAGTTGCAGTCCGTGGCCCTGGGATTCCTGTGAGACCACACCCTAGCTTTCTTCCTTTTATACCAAGGTTCCTAGAAATCTCTTTTTTAGTGTTGTGGAATCATAATGTGATTGTTTTCCGGTGAAGAATTAGTTATTAGATGGGAGATTTAGTTTTCAAAATAGGGCATCTGTCAGTTTGGCATTGTATTGCCCCGAATTTATTTATTCAGGTTAAAAACCATCACTAGTTAGTATTCATTGATATTTATCATTTAAGAAAACTAAGAGTCACAACTCTCTGCTTGTATTAATGGACAGGTTGAGATGCTGCCATCACATCAATTAACAGACACAGAACCTGTAAGGCTAGCACAACTCCCTCACCTCTTTCTTCTTACTCTTGTCTCCATCCACTCAACAGCTCCCAGAGCCCAGATTTGTTTTATTAATATCCAGCCCAGTGATTTATTATAAAATCATTTCGTTCAAGTACTACTGAGTTGAAATCATTTTATTTTTAAGTTTTAAATAAATATAAAATTATTTAAAAATATATGTAACTAGTAAACATAAAGAATCTCTGCAGGACAAAGAACAATGTTTGCTTTGTCACTCTGAAGTCACATGCTGTACACTCACAGAAGCCAGGGAAGGGTGGTGAACTGCACGGAGCAGGCAGCACCTGCACCTACCTGTCATGGTGAATCCACCAACTAACAAACCAATGTCTCGGCCACCAACTATTATGGCTTCGCTGCGCTCCTCTGCGCTGCCAGTGTTTTTGGTTCTCCAGGCAGCCCATATTCCAACCAGCAATATCAGAAGGTAGAACACGATGATAGCTATCAGTCCTTCCACATGGAAAGCCATTTTTCATCTAACCGTCCAGATTCTTCTGCAGCTGGCTACTTCATTAAGACTTCTGAAGAGAATACAGTAATGCATTATAAACCAGCCAAGCACTATGCACACGTAGGCAGCCAGGAACAAACCCAGCTGGCTCGTGAGAGATCCGGTGCAGCTTAAAGAACAAGAATAACACTGAAATTGCAGGTGAAACCGGTAGTTACCAACAAGTGTCCACTATATTATCCTACTTCTATTTAATAACTGGACATGTTTTGTGTTTTCGAGAGCAAGAAGAAAGTAGTTTAACAAAGGAATCATAATAATTTGTATTTAATAAATTCTTTCAATTTAAAATTAACCTTGTCACGCATCTTAGGAACTCAATAAATAATTTACAAAGGATATGGCTGTATTTGCTTTGTGGAACTCAGTTAGTATTCTAGAATTATTCAGTAATGTAAGTGTACCATAAAGGACTACTCTGAAAAATTTAAAATATTGATTAATTCATTCATTCTTCTATCCATCCTTTCAAACAGTTTCAGGGAATAGTTCCAGAAGTAATCTGATGTAAGAATATCTGGGGAGGGGGCAGAAACAACTTTAGGAAAATCCATTTCAAAAACACATCAACTCCACATTTTCAACAAGTTCTTGGATTTCAAGTTACTGTATCAACTAAATATATTTTTGTTGTTTAAAGGGTCCTCCTTCTTCATCCTCTTCCTCATCCACTGTTCTTCATTCGTTTCACCCCCGCCCCCACATTAATGGTATATACAAGAAAGGATTTAAAAACACGGATTGCCTAAAAACATAACAGAGGGGCAAGAGTATTAAAAGCAAGACTCTTAAAAGACAAATAGCAAGTTCTAAAGCCTTCTCCTTCTGGAATTCTCGTTCCTTTTAATAATTGTTTTTCCTTTCGTGGCCACAGTTATTTCATGAACCACAACTCACACACACACACACACAAGTTTCTAGGGGAAACTCAGATATTCGCGCACGCAGGTGGGTGATGAGACCTCGGGCGAAAGAACTCGCCTCCCTTGGATTCCGGGGAAGCGAGGGGTGCGCCCGCCCGCCGCGGGCTGGGTGGGCTCTGCCTTTGTGAGCAACCGAGCCAGCAAGTTCTTTCCCCAGCAGTCCTGCGCTCCCAGGCCCCCTGCTGTCCCTCCTCGTCCCCCTCTGCCACTCCCCTGCGCCCAGACTCTGAAGCCGCCCGCACCCGAGAGCCTCGGTGCCAGACCGCCGCCGACCCGCCAGCGCATCCCCACCGAGAGGCAAAGGCGCCGCTCCCCTCCCCTCTAAGACCGCCCGGCTTGGCGCCCACCTGGTCCCCGAGGGCGCGGCCCCTGGGCGCCGGGGCGGCCGGCTCGGCTCCTACCTGGAGTTGTCGCCGTGCGGGGAAGCGCTCCGCCCGGGGCCGCCGCCCCCGGGAGCCGAGAGGGCGCGGGTGCGGGTGCAGAGAGGGAGGGTGGGGTCAGGGGTGCAGCCGCGGGGCGGTGGGTCCGGGCGGCTCCTCAGCCCGCGTCTCCAAGCCCCGGGGAGCGCGCGGAGGCGACAGGTGCGGGCGCCGGCGGAGGGCGCGCGGCGCGGGGCGGGGCGAGGTGGCTATCGATCCCAGTATTGGGAAAAGTCCCCTTTATAAGGACGGCCGGCGGGGGCGATCGTCAGAGGTTGGGAGGCGGACGTCAGAGGAAAGTGGTGCTGAGGCGTGCGCTGGGGACGCTGCCCTCGCGGGGAGGGTGGGTGTGCGGGGTGCGAAGGGAGCTGGCCCGCCGTGGCATCTCCATCTCCAGGCACGGCCCTGCCACTCCCTCTCCCTCCTCCAGAAAAGGGTGCCGCGATTGTGTAAGGTCATGCCTGATTCTAACTTCCCCCGACTCTGGTTGGAAGCAGGGGATGGGGTGACTGAGGGACTCTCAGAGAATTTTGTCTTCTGATGGAGCAGTGGGAAGTCCAGGAGACAGCAAGCGTCTCCTTGGTGTCTGCCCAGACCACAGCCCGGGATTGTTTCTTGAGGCGTGTCTCTCAGAGCTTAGGGTCCTCTCACGCTGCCTCTGTGAGCTGATTCTGGCGCCCCAGGTGATGGGTTCCCTGACGGAGACATTTCTGGAAGGTTTAGAAAGTTCTTTTTACATGCATACCCCTTCCACTTAAAAGTAGGGGTACAATGAAAAACTCTAGGAGTTGTTCAAAAACAACACTGAGGTTATGTCATAAGCCAGACAAGATAGCTTTCTGTGTGTAGCCAACTGGGTTGTTTGCCTCCTACTATATGCTATTCCAGAGTTTTAAAAAATTTGCTACATTAGTTTCAATATATCTATACCTAGATATCTATGTCTTTATCCCTAGATTATACATCTCCGGTTATAAACACATACATAGATGCATTTATACATCTAGGTGTGTAGAGATAGATAGAGGTGTATTGTGTATTTATGGACATGTGTGAATGTCCGCGGAAGAAGAGAGAAGTGAGGGTGGCCACAAGCCACAAAGCCACAAGCCCTCGGGCCACTTTCTCACTTCCATCTGTATGCCACCATGACTGTGTATTAAATAGTAAAATATGCAAATCTAGTAATTGGTGGAATAAGTAAGAGTACTTCTTAACTACTCTCCACCTCTCTCTAGGCCAAGTTTCAGCCCAGCTCCCATTTCCTTACACTGGAATTTGAAATGAACTTTAAAATTTATATCATTACCCCATTTTTTGTCCTCTGTGTAAACAATAACTGCCTCTAGCTGCCTTGTTTGAGGTGAGCCAGCCGGTGGAGTCCAACAAAAATTAGGATGCAACAAGGGGCCTGCGTGGGTAGTTACCTCATCTGGATTGTGTGATTAGTTTACTACTTTTCTGGAAAAGACTTGATAGCCTTTCGACATAACCCCATTTTTGCATGAAATGGTTATGAATTTAAGCAATTTTAAGGAACAGAAAGAGGGGAAAACAGAGATGAGATTTTTATATAATGACCCAAGTACCTCAAAAGAAGTTCATTCATTCATTCATTGCTTTTGTTTTTAACCATTCTGACTCAATTTCTGATTCTGGGCCTTAGCCACAGGCTAATTTATGTCTTGCCTGCCAGAATATACTTAAGGTGATGATGACCCAAGGCTGATAGTTGTAGCAGGCAAGCATGGGCAATGGCAGTGTCTGAAATAGCGCAAAGGGCTAAGGTCACAGGGAGCGTGACTCAGATTCAAAAAGCGACTGAAGAGGCAGCTGTCCTCAGAGAACATCACCAGGCAGTTGAGGATGAGAATCGGGAGTGCAGCCAGGGCACACGCTCTCCCAGGGCCCACCTAATCCACTTTCAGAAGCCAGGCTTGCCAGATTCTAGACACAGCACCAGATCTGAGAAGGGACGATGACCTTGAAAGGGACCAGACAAATTCTGGCCTGGCAGAGCAGCTGTCCTCCATGACAAAAAAAACACCAGTTGAAAATGACAACTGCTGATGTATTGCGTCTAATTCTGGGGAGACATTTCCTCATTTGCTAAGTCTTTTGAGCTCCTGCGTCTGATCTAAGGATGACTCTGCATGTGAGTTTCTGTTTCAGGGTGTACCCTCCCAGACATCCTTTTCTTTTTTTAAATTAATTAATTTTTATTTTTTTATTTTAGCGAATTATGGGGGTACAAGTGTTAAGGTTACATATATTGCCCATGCTCCCCCTCCCCCTCGAGTCAGAGCTTCAAGCGTGCAGACATCCTTTTCTTCTTTTGTCTTCAATGTGCATCTCTTCCTCTGCTTTCCTGAGAATATGGGATCAGGCTTGGAGCTAGGGCAATACATACCAGTGGGAGCCCGATTCCAGCTTTGGGGAATAAAAAGCAGGTTTTACATTTACAACTCATTTATTTATTTAAAACACATTTCCTAAGTGCCTTTTATGTTTCAAACACTTTCCTAAGTATTGAGATGCACGCAGAAAATGATGTAGCCCTTGCCCTTAAGCAACGCATCATCTGTGAAAGGAAAGGACAGATAAGCAAAAGCTCCACTTTAGGATACTGTTGTAAGTGCTGGGAAGGATGTAGCGCATCTATACACACAGAGTTTAGGGAAAGCACGAACAAAAGGTCTTAATCAGACTGAGGTATTCTTCTTGGGGAGGGGGAGTTTTTTTTGTTCAACAAACACGTGGAGGCACCTACTACGTGCTAGGTATATACTCAAGTGATTGAATTGAAAAGATCCCTGTCCTCAATGAGCTTACCTAATCAATCCTGCAGCATCAGCATCACTGTTTTCTTTAAATAATAAGGATGTCACTTAGTCTATACATCTTGAATGTGTCTCAAATACAAATCAAATGCGTATTGAGATTTTGGCTGGGGGCAATTTCCTTAAGTTATTACCCTTCATAATGTCCCAGTTTCCCCATATAACATTACCTTAAACCTTTCATAATTTTTAATTGATTACATTTAGCTTCAATTGCACCTGGCCAGTCATTTCCAAACCAAGTTGATGATCAGAATTATACAGTACTTTAAAAATTGCGGGACGTTATGGCTGTACAGCAAGCATTCTGATTCTGTGAATCTTGGGCAAGGGTTTGGGAATCTGGTTTTCTTCCAAAACTTCCCCAGTGTTCCTGATGGCCAGCTGGATTTGGGAGACCCTTCTGCATTCCAGAGTGGCAAGGGCTTTGAAGTCAAAACTGATGACTTTAGCTCATACTTACTAGAAATGGGATCTTTATCAAATTATTTTATCTTCATTGAGTTTTAATTTTCTTATCTGCTAAGCAGAAATAAAACATGCAAGGTTAGTGTTGATCTCATAGGTGAGGATTCATTTGAGATGGTATACAGTCAGCCCTCCATATCTGTGGGATTGAAAATATTGGGGAAAAATGTGTCTATACTGAACATGTACAGACTTTTTTCCTTGTCATTATTACTTAGACAGTACAACAACTATTTACATAACATTTATGTTATGTGTAATCTAGAGATTATTTAAAGTATATGGAAGGATATGCATAGGTTATATGCAACAACTAAGTCATTTTATATCAGGCACTTGAGCATTCATGGATTTTGGTAT